TCAATTGAATTTGAGGAGTTTACATATGGAACATCCTTCGATACACACATTTTGATTGGATTTCATTTTCGCAAGTCTCCCCAAACTTCTGGCCTCACCACCCGCACGCAAAAATGCTATGTTCAATTTTCAGTACACGCTGCTGTGGTGCGCCTCTTTCCCAACAGAGTTGTCTGACACATATGGAGTCATTCCCACACATCATTTAAATAATTTCCTATGGCACAGAGATGAGTTTCCTCCCAGCGCCACGAGTTTTCGGCAACCCCCAGAAACCGAGCCATTCACCCAAAAACCAACGCCCCCTCGAAACAGTCTTTTTCCCCAAATGGCGGAGCGACTCAGATGGAAAATGTGTTTCCCATCCCCGCATGGAAATTATTGCCACTTCTTCCGTGGAGTTTGGGGGCATGTTGAAAACCCATAAGGAGGAGGGAAAAGTTTATATTACAATAATATTCCGTGGACCAAAAAGGGCCAAAGAAGAGTCAAATGTGTGCGATTTGCATAGCAGAAAGTTAATGATGCGAATGGTTTAATGCTCTTTTATAAGACATACTCCGCCTTTAGCTCGTGATACTCGAGCAAATCTTTATGGAGGAGAATTAAAATTAATACCCATGCAAAGATTGCATGACTACTCCAAGGCACTTAATGCCGATGAGGAATGTTCGGGTGAGAATTTTCACTGGGATGTGTGAAAATTTCCTCATGTTTCCACTTTTCCCACGAATAATCATAAAACTTTCGAGAATTGTTGGCCACAAAGTTGAGAGTGTCTTGCAGGCAAGATCTCTCAGAGCAGCCTTTCTTCATTTACTTGTTCGCGTTGTGTTTTTACGAAATTTTCCTTGACTTGAACCCCAATAATTACGCTCAGAGTCACTTTAGCGTATCTTGTACTCAAAGCTTATTGGTGTCTCCTTTTAGTGCAAAAGCAAATCACCATGCAAAGCCTATTTCTGTAGGCGAATGGAAACCTGCCCATTGATGTTTAATAACTCAATATATATGTACTTCGTTGCAGATTAAGACAGTACGCAGAGTGAACAAATTGCCACTGATAATTGCTACGCTTAATAGAGAAACCACTTAATGCAAGATTAATTTCAATAAATTGCTTATTCACCAAATTGATTTTGCACTCTCTCTCTCTCATCCAATGGCGCGCTGGAAAATCTCTTGCTTGATAAATCCAAAAGGCAAAATTGCACGAAGCTATTAATTCAGGGTTGAAGTAATTTGCTTGTCAAATAGGAAGAGAATTGATAAACTATTCATGGTTATATTGTCTTGAAGTGGCGTGGAGTTTTCGTGCAAAAATCCTCATGGAAGATGAAAAGAGCTGAGTGAGTCCTGAAGCGCCTTGAAGAGCAAATATTGAGAAGATGCTCAGCATTTAACGTTGTTGTATAAGCAAATAATTTATTGTGTCGTATACAGTAGAATAATGCTCAATTGTACCTCACTCTTCCTCGGGAATTTATGGTGTCCTGGAGAGTCTCTTGCCAGACAATGGAATCTTAAATTATTTCGTTGCATATTATCATGAAGACATTGATAATGATCCGTAATTATGTGTGTTCTCGGAGCATTTTGCCAGCAAATGAGGCGAGAGAGGTTGCCTGAGTCATGGAAGAATCGAAGGCACGAGATTGCGGCTCTTGGTCCATTCTTCTTCACCATCTTCGCGACTGATCGTTAGCGCTGAGCAATCAACAGGGCGCATTTTTTGGCTGCAGCCGCGGACATCAAAAGAGCAGTTGAAAGTAGACAGAGGGGCATGAGCCAGGCATTTACCTAAATGCATGTAGGAGCTATCATTTAAAACACTAAAGCTGATAAATGATGACTTTCAGTAATCAATTTCTGCCTCAATTGAGAGGGTCAAAGTGTTTACACTCGCCCAGGAGATTCAACATCAAATACAAGAGATGATAATTGCTCAGCCATAAATATTCTGCATTTTATGATGCGAAATGGCTTCAAGTGCGTCTCAGCTCTCCACTCAAATTACCAAGTTCACTTCATACGGAAAAAAAGTTATTATTTCAAGAGTGTCTGTGTGCCTTTCACTTCCCACGTCTTCGGGCTCCTCCGGAGTAACTTGAGAAAATTCTTTCGTCCTCTAATGGGGTTGCTTTCCACTCCCGACCTTTTGATGTTGGCTTACGGAATGTTTGTCGCATGCCACTTGACACCGACGTTCTGTTGCCGTGGCGGCAGCCCTTTTAGGCTCAGCTTCAACCCGTGCCATCCCTCTAGGAATGTCGAGTGACAGGCGACTGATGTGAGGTGAAACTCGAGGCAGAGGCACGTCCGACTCGTTAGCGAAGCCTCCGTGAGTGGCTTCGGCAAAGAGAGTCTCCATCGCGAGGAAAGGAGCCGGAAATGGCCCATAAATCCTCAACGTGAATGGAGCGCATTTTTCTCCGTCACACAAGCGCTGCATTTGACGTCAAAGAACAACGAATTCGCGGGATGATTCGCGAAGGCCGACCAGACTGTAGCCCGGGAGCCTCTGAGAGTGTCCTGGGGTGAATTCTGGGCGAGTTGTTCGGCTGAATTTCACGGCACTTGGCCGCTGATTCGCTGTCAAGAGCAGCCGCCGAATTGGAGCATTCTGTATGGCCTCTGAGAACTGTTCTCAATTGCAGATTTGCGCTTCTGGGAAAATCCCGAAGTAAATATCCTGGAAAATGCTTTGAGGGCTTTGAAGGAATTGCTGAGAAATTGACTGAGAGAACCTCCAGGAGACATAACAATCGCGGAACCATCTCTTGCTGAGCAGTTTTCACCTTCTCGCTAATTGTTCCGTTTTCCCGGAAAGCAATTAAGACTGTTGAAAATCGTCTGAGTTGTCGTCTTGAGAGTGATCTCATGCAAATGCCTTTGAAGGAGGAAAAATTGTGTTTTTCGAGTAGATATGTGACTGGAACCTCTTTTCGTTGTTGGGAAGAGAATCTCTTCGCGATTCATTGAATAAGAAGAGTGCAATCAACCGGACAATCTCAAGAAATTCATCTCAAGGCTGATGTAATTAATTGGAATTCGTCGTTAGATTCTTGATCAATTTCCTTCCAATCCAACGACACGTCTTCGAGATGCAATTGCAAACCTCTTCAATCATCAGCGAATTCAGGAGGATGAAATTCAGAATCTTGGACAATTCCTCACGCCTCCGTGAAGGAAAGGGAGATTCGTGATCCATCGCATGAGCGATGAGAAGTTGCGCCACTTCTGGGACTGCCTTGGCTGCGGAGAGGCAAATTAATGGATTAGCATTCCGGCGCGAGAGACACAACTATTCCATTACGGACGCGCTAAAAATCCATCCATCGCGTTTGATTTAATTGATTTATCGCCGGATTCTGCGACACTAATTCACAGCGCAGGACAAATCGGTAGAGCGACAGGTGATGCCGCCGACCAGAATCTCAAGACTTCGTTCTCCAGACATCGCTTCTCATTAAACACGCAACACTTTTCAGGCGAGATGAATGCTCTTGGGTGGGATTATGATGGAGGAGACACTTTGAAAATATACGAGTGTCTCGCAAATTAAAGCTCACTTGAAGCACTGGAAGAATTATGAACAAGGCGTTCTACAGTGTGTGGCAACGAGAACGCAACGGGGACTTTGGGAAATTCCCTTATGTGATTATAATATACTCACTCTCTCTCTCTCTCAAGTAATATTTGGGTTCACTTCACAAACGCCACATGCATTAATTGAGTTGAAATATGTGGGTGGATTTGACGACAGTTTGAGGAACAAGAGTCGACAACTCAATCTTTTCGTTGCTCCGCAGCAAACCTCTTTTGCCACCAACATTGTAAGATGGTGTGAGCTGGAAAAGAGCTACAATTTATTTATCTTTCATGTGGGTGCATCTTTATTGTTATGGAACACTCAGTCGAAGCCACATTTTTTGCCGCCTTTCTCGTTCTTCCGCTCAAATCTGTTGGCAGGAGACAAAGTGCGATCACTTTCGTCAGTGGGTGTTTCTGTTAATTAACATTCCTCCTCCCCCCTCAGAATCTGCGTGTGTAAAATTGCGTGTTGTTTATTTACACGATCATCGCCAGCTACCTACACGCGGGTATTTGACCGAAAAGAGGAGCAGAGTTGATGGGAAAGATGAAAATATATTAATGGAAATAGTGCAGAATACAAGTTTTTCAAGAAATCGTTTGAATTATAGTTTTAAAATCACTCTAAAGCACAATGTGTGGCTTTCATCAAGCAGTGTTCAATCTTTAGTCTGGAACTCTCTAACTCTGTTCTGCCGTTCTCACCGTTCTTCTCTTTGCATCCTGCCGTGTAGTTTTGGCCATAGCAAAACTGCCGACCGGTGCATGACAGCATGATCGATCTGTGGTTGCCGTAGTGGCAATTGCGAGATGCGTCATTGGACATATCCATGGATTTATGTGCTAATTTTTGTGAGTCTCAGCAGCTCCAATAGAATTGTTTATTTTTAGTGTGGGTATTGAAAAAGAATTTTATTGCATTGTCGCGACACAATCATAAATAAAATCACGTTTAAATCTGATTAATTTGTTTCATCCGCTCCATGCGCATTTGCTAGTGCTATCCAATGTGATATTGTTTTGTCCGCAGGACCAAAACTATGCTGTTTGAGGGGTGGACAGTGGCCGAGAGGGCGCATGGCTATATATCATTGGGCTTTCAACGAACCCTCGCACTCTTTTCCCATTCATACCATTTATCTGTTTATGTTTCATTTTGGACTCGGGAGCGATTCTTGCAGCCGCTGACAAAACATGGCACTCACGTTGTATGGGAAAAACGATTGAAAAACAGCACAAATGCGTTCAACTGGCACGAGAAAGAGGAAAAAATATATAGATTTATAGGGATATTTTTGGTCATAGCATTTGAAAGATAATAGAGTATAATGCAAGATGAAAAGAAATTTTATTTATACTATTTCGCCACTCAGTTTTAATCACCAGCGTTTCTCCTCTCGTTTCAGGACCACCCGGAAAGCGAGGGAAGAAGGGCAAAAAGGGCGATACAGGAGATTCAGGACCAGCTGTAAGTGAAACTCTTTGCCGATATCGAGACTCACGTACGATTCCAAACTCCGGTGGTTATCTAAATTCCGAGAAATTTAATTGGCTCGTGATTTATTTGATCCCGATGGAGCTCTCGGGTAATTTGGAGCCTCCACCACTTTTTATCAGACCCCTTTTTATTGTTTGATTTACAGGGTCCCTCAGGCCTCAATGGTATTCCGGTACAAGATTTCCACTCACTCTCCTCATTCGCACACATTTTCACAGTAATAGAGAGAATCCCTCTAAGTGGGAAAGCGGCGAAAATAGTCGTTTTCACAATTGCTTTCGATTCAGCAGAAAAAGTTGAAAGAAAGTGCTGAGCATTTAAGTCACACAAGCATGAAAAGATGAGGACAAATAGCGTCATCTGACATGGAAAACTAATAGAGTACTTTGCATCCATTACATCCATCCATTCTCATTACGATTCACGGTGAAAAATTATCCCGTGGCAGGACTTCACCATGGGTGTGCAATTATTGTAAAAGAAACCCCTGTTTGTCGCAGTCAATTTAGATTGGGGATGAAGTCTTCCCTCTTCCTTGGCAAAAGATGAATTCCTATGTATAAAGGAAAAATCCCCCTTTATTATCTACACTGTGTGACTGTCGTGATGGACTAGACATAGAATACAGTGATGGTTTGCCAGTAAATTGCGTCATAACTATATGTTTACTACTAGATATTATATTGAAAGACTTTCTCAATACAAAATTATTGAATGTTTTCAATTGGTTTAAATTAGCAATATCAAAGTATTGCTTTCCATTTACACGATTGCAATAAACAATACAAAATATGTATCTTTATGAATACATAATGCTCTTTATGCAATTTATTACAACTTTGTGGGATTTAAATGCACTCTCCCGTAATTAATTAATCCAGAATGTTTTGCATTATAAATAATTTCTCATTTTCTCCATCTCCGACATCTCTCAAGGCGGGTATTTAATTTATTGATCGATGTGTTTAATATTCAGAGTATAATTTAGGGTGAATGCCACTTCATTAGTGAATGACACTCAGAGAGGCGAAGGAGAACTGGAGAGACTGAAAGAATTCACCCTGAGAGGAAAAAATTGTTTTTAAATCTCCGTGATATCAGGAGGTGCCCTCGAGGGAGTTCTCTTTTTTATGAAACATTTTTCTTGTGTGTATCAAATGACGAGAGGACGAGGAGCTGGGCGTGTTTTTCAATAATTTGCCTCTCAAACACGAGCAAGACCGAGAGCCATTTCATCCTCCACAGGGCAATAATAACAATAATAATGGTTACATCCCAGAGCATTTGCCAAAATTTTAATCAAACCCAACAATTTTCGTGCCAACAATGAAGTTCTGCACATAAATTCATCGATACGCCAACCATTGAGCAATATTCACCCGAAAATACACATGAGACTCCATGGCTCTCCTTCTGCTGCCAGCAAATAAATGAAATTGTGTCACTGAATGGTTTCAATTAATTTATTTCATCTCTCTCACTCTCTGCTTTTTTCTCACCACTCGTAAATATTTTATCATTATTTGACATGGGACAATTGGAATTCTTGTGGGCGTTGCACGCTGTGGAATTTTATTTTATACACTCAACTCATGGCAGCAGAAATTGCAATATAGAGCTCTAAAAAATTTTCCCTCTTCTCTCGAAGTCCATGACAAATATGTCCCACTTGCAGTGTGCCAATGTTGGTGAAATTCATTTATGAAAAGTCACTCACTCTATTGGGGTTCAAAATGAGCTTGTATGTCGCTTTTCAAGTCACCAATTTGAGAGTCAAAGCTGCCATTCACACACATTCTCTCCTATCGTTGATGTCCTTCTGCTTGCACTCATTCACACTCATCATGCAGGGACCAATAGGCCTGGACGGACCGAAAGGAGAATCCGGAGCACCAGGATCGAAGGGTCAAAAGGGTGATCTGGGTGCGCTTGCCTTCGACATCTTCTCGTCGAAGGGACTGAAGCGATCAGTGACGACTCTGCGAGGCGGCTCATTGGGATACGCGGAGATTGTGGCTGTTAAGGGCGAACCAGGTGCGCCAGGACCACCCGGAGAGCCTGGACCGCCAGGACAAGCCGGCGTTCCCGGGGACGACGGGAAGCTGGGGCCCGCCGGAGCGATCGGGCCACCAGGAGAGAAAGGCCAAACCGGAGAAATTGGAGCGCCAGGATCGCCTGGACCGAAGGTTAGTATCCTTGCTCTAAGAATTGCGCTAAAGCCTAAGATAAAACATATGGAGTTCATACATCATGTGGTCTCGAAAGATACATCTTCTTCGATGTTCTTCTCTCATGAATCATGCATTGTAGGGTGAAAAAGGTCAAATCGGTTACAGAGGGGTTCCAGGATATCCAGGGATGCCGGTACGTTAATTTATCATTTAAAGAGTGAAAGAACGACTTAAGAATGTGAGTCCAGTCAGGGACACGAGAGAATGTTTAAATTGTAATTAGTTCTATTATGTTTATCTTTCGATCTCACAACATAAACAGGGTCGACCCGGATTTAAAGGTGAACGCGGTCCAATGGGATGGAGAGTAAGAAATTCTATCATTTATGAAAATAATCTTATGTAAACAGAAAAACTCCCCTTCTTATCCTTCTCTCTCACTTGAGAACTTGACTTTGCTCTTTGTACAAAATCCTCAATGGGATGGAAAGAAAGAAAAAAAAACTCCTAACAATACAAGAATGTTAAATTAGTTTTCTTAGGTATTTTGGTGATTGGCGTATGATTTCTGAATACTAATGCAATGGAACCAGAGTTGGAAAACGGGATCGCAGAGTGATTTTACAGATAGGTTGAAGATTCACTATTTAAGTGAGTCTTAAGCTCTGCATCTCAAGTCAGATTTGTATATATTCAGAGCTAGGTTTAGTTTTCTTCTCAATTTTTATCTCTTTTCGCGGACAATTCCAACTCTGGTGTTCGAGTTCTTTCACTCACTTCTCATTCTCTTGTGTCTCACACGATTTCTCATCTTCATTTCATCCATAGTGCAGTGCATTAAATTTTTATTGTATATCTACCTTCATTGCCGTGGTGTTGGGGAATTGAGATGCAGCTGAGGACGTTTGGACGCGAGGCGATAAAACTTGTCTCTTTATTGCCATTGCAGGGTGACAAAGGGGATCGTGGCATTGTGACAACAATCAGCAGCGATCAGTTTCCGAATGGCATCATCGAGGGTCCGCCGGGACCACCTGGACCGCCAGGAGAGCCTGGGGCCAAGGGTGACCGCGGCGAGGCCGGACCTGTCGGACCACCGGGTGGCAAAGGACCTCGCGGGAAGCGCGGCAAGCGGGTGAGTTTAGTCTGTAATTAGATCATCTCCGAGTTAATTGAAATATTCATCCATGTTGGCAATTAGTCCACCAAAGTGCTTTTAGTCCAGAACTGTCCCCAGCCCTGGGGCTCCTATGCACAAGAGAGTGAGAGAGAGGGAGACACTCCACCAAATTAATTACCAACACAATCTGGTGGTATCTCTTTAATTATCTCCATAGTTGGCCCGAAGGGCGGAGAGATATTAACAGGGTGCCCCGCTCGAAAGTTTGGGTCGTCCTCCACCCAAGTAATATCACAAAACAGCATAATTCCCTGCGAACAATGCGTGATTTGTTGCTCATTGTCTGCCCGCCCCAAAACTGTATATGCATGAATTCGCCGTATGCCCGCCAACAAGCCGCACAGCTCATTTTGCGAATTATTCTGTGTATATTTCCAATTATCAAATCCTGTTGGCAATCCTATTCAGGACCCTCATGCATGCATTTTTCAGTCGTATTCCTGAGTTCAAACACATTCAACCATAGTGACTAATTGCCACAGTTTTGCAGCAACTTCAAAAGGCATCTCCGATGATTAATTAGCCGCGAACCATTGACAAAATGTTCGACTGAACAGACAAACACGGGCATTCAATGTTATTCAATTTGAAAATATAATTCCTCTATTGATGCGGTTATTTTTCGAAAAAAAATACTATGGAGAGACCATCAAAAGCAGTGATTGAAACCGGAATATGATTTTCCTCATGAGTCAATGATTCGAAATTGGGGTTAATGACGGATATTTTCATTGAAAATGTCAATTAATACTTATATCAGGAATTTAAAGGGGGAATTAATACTCAACTTCAACCCAGCAATGAATACTTGCCACTAATTTTAAGTACTTTTTATGGCTTTCCGAAACTTTGCCCTTCATTTAATTGCCACCCCCTCTCCTCCCTCTTCACCATCTAAACTGCTTGGCAAAGTATCTGGAAAGTAATTAAATACGAGTTGCATTAATTGAAAAATTTTCATGTACAACCCCATTGACTGTGCAGAAAAATAAAAATTCCTCTGCCGCAAAAAGTGCAGCACAATTGCAAACTCACCCTCTAATTGCTGTTGAAGTCATTTTTGGATAAAGTTACCCAAGCCATATCAACGCCACACTCCAGCTGAACTGCCCCAGGCCAATAAATCGCTGTGCCACCCTCAAAGAGTTTTCTGCATTGTTGTTGGTTTCTCCGCTCGCGAACGGTGGAAAGTTTTGTAATTAGTTCATTGTGTAAAAATAGTTGGAAAACATATTGTTATACAATTTTTAGCATGCTCCCAAGAGCCCACGTTTCCCAGTCAACACTTCCCACCCCACGCCCGATGGCGTAATCCTCGGGCCTTTGCTGAAAGTATCGCAAAGAGATTACAATTTGCTTTCTCTCCTCTCTTTCACTCGTGGGACAATTAGATAGGGGCTGGCAAGGAGGAGGTGGATTACGATGATCCTGTCACGGTGCTGAGAGGTCCACCAGGGCCACCAGGACCGCCAGGACCGCCGGGATTCCAGGGCAAGGACGGATTGGCCGGACAGAAAGGCGACCGCGGCCAAGTCGGTGAACCCGGCTCTCTTGGTCCGCGCGGATTGGACGGTCTGCCCGGAGAGCCTGGCATTGAAGGACCGCCGGGATTGCCAGGATATCAAGGCCCTGCAGGCGAGAAGGGCGAGAGAGGCGACATCGGACCACCCGGCCTCATGGGCCCACCCGGACTGCCCGGTCCGCCAGGCTTCCCAGGACCCAAAGGAGACAGAGCCGAAGGTGTTCAACCCGAATACGTAAGTCCACATTAATTACTCTATCATTCCTTCATCAACCCCTTCTTCCGATTTGACAAGTCCTCAGCCATGGCTCGATAATTTGTAACTGCCAGAAAAAATTAAGTCCTCTGATGCGTGGGACAAATTGCTGAGATAAATCATCAATTATACGAGACAGTAATTCTCCTCTCCCTCGGTGGACATTTCAGAAATTGAGAAAAATGAGGAGAAGACAAGACGATCGGATGTCAGATGCTCCATCACGCACAAATGTCCACATCGAATACGTAAGTCTCTTAGATAAATATGCTGAGTGCGGAGTGAGAGCCTTGATTGTCTTTGGCAGTTGCGTGGCCCGCCCGGACCGCCGGGGCCGCAGGGAGTTCCCGGGCACACTGGGCAGCGAGGAGAGCGCGGCGCAGACGGCCGGAAGGGGGACTTGGGGCCGAAGGGCGTGAAGGGTGATCAAGGTAAGACGAAGGATGGCACTTGACTTGAGAATGCAAACTAACCTTCTGCCAAATAGGCCCAATGGGACTGCCCGGACCCATGGGAGTGATTGCCGATGCCGACACCATGACTCCAATGCGTCGACGGAGCTATCCTGGTTGAGTTTAATCAACCGTGCGAGTGAGGGAAAACTAACAGAGCCACAGCCACAGTGTCAGTGGGAAACTAATGGAATCAACGGGCGATAAGGGGGAAAATCTGTCGATGCAGTGATAAATGAAAAACATATGGAAATTCACATATTGTCACGGGTTCTTATTTTCTCTTTACATAATAAATGTGATTCGACTGTAGATTGTTAAGAAAAAAAAACATGATCGTGAAAATAGAGAGACTCATGCGACGAAGGAATCTCACAGGCAAAGTTTTTCCCAGTATTCAGTGTTTCGTTGTGTTCATTGTCCAAGCGTAAAAGAATTATAAATGAAGAGAAAAAGATGAGATGAAGTAAAAACTCAGATGATTTGACGAGGAGAGCAAAACCAGAAAGATTGAAGTTTAAATGTAACGAATAGACGTAAGAAATCTCAATGTATACATTCATAAATCGTATTTGAAGGTATGGAGAAACTTACTTATTTATAAATTATATACTCTTAATAATCTTCTACTGAATCATACAGTCATCGATTTGTATCATTTGTAAATAAATACAGATTATACAGTGAATAACGCGCTCATCTGCATTTTCATTTGTACGCCTCGCATTTTCCCACCAATAGACTTTCGCGTTCCTCAGGGATTTTTATTAAAATACCGGGAACGCGAAAGGGGCGGTTCATCGAATGCTAATTGTTTCCACCTTCCCCCAGGATGACAATCGCGAGATGAATTTCATCACAAGGATGGAGGGAAAGTTCATTACTTTCTCACTGCACATAAAGTGCCGAAACTTCCTTTAAACGCCCATTTTCAATTCAATTTACCTAGAAATGTCTATTGCTAATAATTGAATTCAACAACCTTCATAATGAATTTCCATTGAGCTAATTTAATTCCTCAAGTAACTGCCGTCTAAGCGGAATTCTCTTGCAAATTTCATGTGTTTCTTGGAAAATCTGCGCAATATATTTCTGAGAATATTCATGCAAATCCACACGAAGATCCGAGACAATTTTAATAATTTATACCTCCACAGCAATAGAGCACTCCCAATAAGGAACTCTCTCGGGCTGAATCTCCCCTAATACTTGCATTATATCAAATTCTCTTTGGCAAGTGCGCACTGAGCGGGTTGAATCCCAAGTGGGTTGAATTTAATTTCAGTTCCGCCACATATATGTAAATTTTTATTGTAGATTTATTCATTGGGGCACATCAATAAATTCCACCCGTTCGAACGTAGCCTGGGTGGACCCTCGCGCAATATATCAAGCCCCGACATCAAACGATAATGATACAATTATTTCCAGGGACAGAGTCGCTGTTGAGCTGGACAGTCACTTTTTCCGGTGACACTGAGGGTGAAAGAGATGTTGGGGAAGATGAATGTGGTGGAGATCAAATGTCGATATGTTGCGTCCCTCCATTTGGAACGACATGAAACAACAAGCCAGGGTCGAATTTGCAGCGAGTGCATTTCATCCAGTGCATTGCTGGGGAGAATTTTGAGCTGCTGTTTGATTTTTTAAAGGTGAAAAATGCTTGAAAACGCACGAATTCGTGAACTAGATTTTTGCTCACGGAAGAAATATCTCACATGTCTTTCATTCTAAATCGAGACGATAAATGGTTGGGTGCAGCGCATCGTAAACTGTCTGCGAACACCGTGAAAGAGTCTGTGACGGGCGGCATGGGTTGACGGGGAACAATTTACAGCGTCCACGAGTATATCATTTTTCAGCAGTGCCTCGACAGTCCGGGAAGCAAGACAAGATGAAATCATGATACTTTTGCTAACATGAGAGCTCTGCGATGCATTACCGGGCATAAAAGTCCAGTAGGGGAAGGATTACGTGCAGTAATCATTGCTGGAACATAAACACAACAATTGCTACAACACGAGATTGGTCAGGCAGCTCATCTTTCAGATCACAAATTACACTTCCAGATCTCACGAGGAGATTTTTGACGCTTCCTCGAATGCTGAGTGCTTTTGTTGAGGACACGCGGAGTGGGAGCGGAAAGAATTCCATCCAAGAGTCTCCGCGCACAAATTCCCATCCTCCGGTTCCACTTCACACAGTCATTCCTCGAGTCACCGGGAAATGCTTGCAAAGTATTTAATTGTATTCAGTATCGCAACATGATAACGTGAATGTGTCTCTTGTGAATAACACGAATTGTCGCAATTTCCTCGAGAGGAGCTCCAGTGAGACAAAACATCACCTTCCTCTCAGTTTTACATAACACTATTCATGTACACGATACGTTTCCGACTATATGTATAGTGCCGGGGATGGCGTTTATATATCAAAACATGACAAACAAGTGAGAAGGTGGGTTCACGCCAGAAGAAGCAACAAAAGGTAAAGAGCGAAAATGGGCACACGGCTGAAGAGAAGAAAAGAATGGCAGAAGATAAATTTGTCGATATATTCAAAATAGAGAAACTTTTACTGGGAATTTCAGTATAAAAATACTTACACATTTGTTTCATTCTATATTGCTGCTTTAATCTATGATAATATATCGAGATCTGCGCTTCTTCCGGGATTGAGAAATAAATTAACTAGTGCATTTCTTTTGATTTCGAAATGACTTCTCATTAGATGGGCAATGGAAACATTCAGGAACAATCAAAATTAAAATAAAAAGTCATAGAATGATTATTTTGCAAATAAAATTGCAAAATCATTAAAAATTTAATATTTTCGACAAAATATTTCAATATATTGTGAATATTTATTAATTGCTGTTTTCTTGTACAGTAATTTTCATAATGGACTAATCTGGAGTGTTTAAAAGCTTTTAAATAATCCATAAAACACTATTATTCCCAGCCAAAATTGTCTCAAATAATATTCAATTATTTTAATAAAGTTTTCATTGAATAGTCAGATCAAAATTAAAGAATTATAAAATATTTAAATATTTTGTGACATAATCTAAAAATTACTCAAATTTGTATGGACATATCAAAAAAGATTATTTGAATAATCACAAAGTAAATGATCTGAAATCACTAGTAATTTTCCCCTTAGTTCTAGTCCTTGCCGAAAAAACGTAGCATCGCGTTCCAGAAGTGTGTGTATTTTTGTGATTGGAACTTGTGGGGTTTGCCTTTCTCCCTGTGTTTTATTTGATTCCGTATACCAGAATGGGACACATAGTCAATCTATGTGTTTTCCTCTCACCGGTGCTCTGGAGCAGACACATAGTGCCAAAGACTAAGGTGAATGTCAACACGACCAGCCACGCTCCATCGCCACATGAATAGAAATTGAGAAATTGGCGGCTTCCCACATTTCTTCACCACTTCCCCATGCCTTTTTCCACTACACTTTTCTTTCGCACCGAAATGGAAAGAGTCATAAAACTCCGATTGAATTCATTCAATTCCACATCCAATGGCACTTCTTTTGTCCCTACGACTCGATGCTCTTAAGCGCAATCAATTTGACGACGTGAATGAGCTTTCTGCAGTGACAATGGATTCTGTTAGGGGATGGATTTTCACGGTGGTGGGAGATTTAGTAATTTGCTGACTTTAATTAGAGCCCATAATGTCAGTTTCTTGCAAATGAGATTTGTGGACATAAATTTAATTTATTCAACACGTCGCCAACCACTAAAAGTCACTAATTAATTTCTGACAATGCACAAAACTTTCCACTCTGCCCACCAATTCCGATATCGGAGGAATTGGCCAGTGTACGATAATTAGATTTACTGCTGGAAAATGTCCCTCCAAATTGTTTTTTTTCCCTCTGCAGTTGGAAAACTTTGCCATTTCCACTGTACAAGAATATTTGCTAATTTCCAGCATGCAAAAAGAGGGAACTTTGTGCCGCTTTCATGTGGAGAAATTGTAAAAGGAGCTGCCAACTTTTCCGCGACTTCTGGTGGAGAGAAACTCACGAGGTGGGATGCTCACAAGTCGCTGAAGAGGGAACTAACATTTCTGGAATTCTATTAATTCATCTTATGAATACAAATTCACCTACTTTTGACATTTTCTAGATTTGTTGTCGCATGAAATTTTTATGGGACACTGCACAGTACAACTTCTCGAGAATGTATTGTCGCTGCGACGTACCATGAATGCGATTTACCTGGGGACCTTCACAAGGAGAGACATGTCTGAAATTCTTCCGGCTCCTAGCTCCTCCGGAGAACAGTCGAGGGGCAGGAGCTTCAGTGCTGTCACACTTAAATTCCATGCTTGGAAGCCAAGTTGCTAAGCTTAGAGCCCCTAAACTTTCATCTTTCGCGAGAGAATTTTTATTATCTCAGGAAGGAGAGCGAAAAGCGAAAAAGCTTTAACCAGATATTTATTCGAAAAGGTAAATAAGAGCGACTTAACTCTTCCTCGACTATTGCGCTGGAAGAGATATTTCGCGTGGATTTTTTGCGATATTTGCCGCTATAAAGCGTGTGAGAGAGATTCCACATAGACAGTGTGGCGCATAATTAAATACAATTGAAGCACAGAGTCTGTAGCAATTTGCGAGGCTGTAATAGAGTGAATTCCATCCAATTGAACATCTCGGCGTCCCTTCGCGACTCTGCGTCTTCCCAAAAGCAAATAAGCAAAGCGTGATTGATGGCTCTCTTTGCTGCAAATATCGTTTAGCAGTTCTTAAATCAGGATCGAATCGCTTGAGCAATAAATCGTTCCTCGCTGAGTCATCTTATGGCAGAAGAACGTGATACTTGTCTCGGAGTCCCACGAACCAGCCCACCGACGAGGGGCACAATTTTAATTCAAATTCCACACACACACAAGGCATTGTGAATATTTGTTTAGAAAGGAGAACTACAATTGCTGGAGCAATGGGGAAAGATCATACGTGGTGAGGAGACGCCTCCGCATCTCGATTCTGCTGGAAGAGCATTGAAGTACAATAAATTTATGATTCGCATATAATACGCTAAATTGCACTCTGTCGCAGAAATTAACAAGTGAAATGCACTGTAGGAGCATGAAATGATAAA